ATGATGCTCATCGTCATATTGAAGAATATGAAATAGAGGAATATAATGAGAAGCAAATGGAAGAAATAATCATGACATGTTCACTTGATGATGATGAACAAATTCATTTCAAGAATTAGAGATTTCAAAAATATTTGATTTGGAATTAATGTTTGAGAATAAGCCAGTAGGAAATAAACAAATAGAAATTAACGAACTTGATAAATTTATTCAAGAATTGAATAAGGAAGAAGATTTTGATTCAGATTCATTAGTTCAAGGTTTTATTAATAATTAATTAGTTAATTTGTATTTGATTAATATAATTGATAATGTAATAAAATTATATTAGTAATAATATAATAAATTTATAAACAATAAAATAAGTTTTAGCATATTTCAGTTTATAAGTTTCAAAATCAGGTTTCAGATTTTGGGTTTTAGAAAAATAAATGCATGTCCAAAATTAGGTTTTATTATATACCAAAACCTAAAGAGTTTTGGGAGGTTTCAGTTTCGATACCCATGTTTAAATTCCAGTCATATTAATGTAATAAAAATCATTAATATATTAAAAGAACGATCACAATAAACTAATGAACAACTTGCATAAGTTATTTAAACTATTGTTGCAAGTAGTTTACATAAAATATATCCATACTTACCATTACGTGATCACTTTGTCAAATAGTTAAATAAGTTTAACATGTTAATATTCTTGTAGAACTAATATTTTTAGAAAATCTTACTATTCCTAAAAATATGCGAGTAACTTTAAATGGATTGGAGTTTTTAGTTAGAGATTCAACTATAAATGATAGAAGAGTATTAATGTTTATAACTATTGCTAATATAATACATTTAGCATAATCACTATTCTGGATTATGAATGGTACTTTTAAGACAGTTTTAACAATTTTTAAACAACTATACACAATTCATGGACGTGTTGGTAGAGATGAAAATTCACAGATTATGCCATTAGTATTTGCATTAATGTTCCACAAATCTGAAGAATGCTATAGAATATTATTTCAGGATTTAATTGATTTTAGTGATGAACATAATGTTGATTTACAACCACAGTTTGTTTTAACAGATTTTGAACAAGCTGCAATTAATGCTATTTGTGTAGAATTTTAAGGAGTGCAAAATAAAGGTTGTCATTTTCATTTATCTCAAAATATATATCGCAAAGTACAGGCTTTTGGTCTCACTATTCAGTATGAAACTGATGAAAACTTTAGTTTATTAATTCGTCATATTTCAGCACTTGCTTTTTTACTTTACAATGAAATTCTTACAGCTTTTAATGAATTGAAAACTAATATGTCAGCAGAAGCAAGCCAAATTTTAGATCAGTTCAACAACTATTATGTTCACGGAAAAATTAGACGTACATTACAAAATGGAAATGTAATTCAGTCTAAACCATTATTTCCACCTTTACTTTGGTCTGTCACTGACAATATTGAATATTCATTTCCAAGAACTCAAAATAATGTGGAGGCTTGGCATAGAAGATGGGAATCATTAGTAGGTCGTGCTCATGTAGGTGTATTTAAAATTATAAAAGAACTACAAAATGAGCAAAAACAAGTGCAACTTCATATAGAATCCATTTTGTGAGAGGCATCACGATCGTTACAAAGAAAACAAGATCATGAACGTGAAGATCAGTGTATTATGATCACAAAATAGAGAACTTATGGATTACCTTAGAGGGATTGCTCACAATCTTTCATTTTAGATTTGTGATTTTGTAGTTTCACTAGTTATTTTTATAAGTAAATTATTTCCTTTTTTGAAAAAGCAAATTATATTAAATTCTGCGCCCCGCATATTTCTTAAATATCATATAGGGACGTGATAACTTAAAATTAAAAATTTCCCGTGATGCAATATGCAAAATATATCACTTTATTAAACTACTTACATAAAAAAAAAATAATACTAATTAATTTCATGATCTTTTATGATAAGCCGCAACTTCTAATAAATTCGTATCGCAAATATGTGTTTGCTTGACTTATTTAAAAGGTATTTTTACGTAAAAGTAGCAACTTTTTTCCTAACAACATAATTATTAGCCATTTACTCACCAAGTTATTCATCACACGTGATTTATTGAGGCGAAAATAGGAAAAGTAGTTGATGTGACACTTAGTGACATATTATTTGAGGTACGTGGGGGTGAAAAACTTGGTGGGAAGATTACAGTAACTAAGGCACACAAATTACGTGTATAAATATTTCTTTTGACGTGTCTATTTAAATTCTCTTTCTTGTTATTTTCAAACGATTGTTAAATCTAGTAGTTTAATATTTTATGGGTATTTGTACGGTGTTGTATTATATCGGTTAAACGTCACGAAGTGACGTTAACACCACCGTACAATATTAAATGGCATTGTCTACATGTTACAAATTTATCCAACTGTTGATTTTATTTTATTTAATTTATGAATTCAATAGTGAACCTCACAATATTAATCAATCTTGTTTATTATGAACGTTATAGTTTGAAGAAATGATTAATTATAATATTGAAGAGTATACAAAAACTATTTATTAATTTAACATATCGATTGTGAATTCCAATAATGTGAATACCCATTTATTAAGATCAAAAAAAAATATTTTAAGCGATATATATTCGTTGAAAATTAGACTTAACTTATGATTAATTACTTCGTTATTAATAATTTCTCAAATACTTGTTTCCATAATTCTTTAATAACGAAATAACATCAGATTTTGCAAAAAAAAAAATAGAGAATTGGGAGAATGACATAAAAATCTTCGTAATAGATTATTTAAAAATCATTGATCTTTAAAATGTAAAATCGTTATTTGAGAAAAAGAATAGAAGTCATGTGAAATGATTTTTAAAGTATAAAAGCAATCTTTAACCAAGCACTTATTCAGTTCTCTCTTTTTCTTGGCGAATCTTATTTGCAAATGATTGAGCGTGAGATGCTATTTAAATCCATAATATCATTAGAACTCGTAAAACCAAAAAGATACATTATTATTGGATATAATTACTATACCTGCCGTATCAGGTGGAATTACACCTCCATATAATTTGCTTTCCTCACGGTTCAGTATACTTGCAGCTTCGTTAACATCTTCGACATTAACTTTATCAATATTCTGCTGCTCTTTTGGTTTAGTTTGAGTCATTGGTTGTCCTTTAGCTGCACGATCAGCTAAAGATTGTGCTCTAGCGGCTGCGGGAAATAATTTTAAATTTTAATTACATTGAAATATAATCTTAAACATGATATATGGTCGTAAAGATGCATACCGACTCCTCCTGCAGGGGTTTGACCTGTTGCCCTTTGCTCTTCACGCTGGATGTTTGCCGCGGCCGTCTTTAATGTGTCTGGATCCATATTTTTTTTTTCCACAAAAAATTCGGGCGTCGTCTTTTATAAAAATAAATCGAATTATGCAAAATTTACGTAATATTAAATTTCTCAATTCTTCATTTAGTTGAAAAATTTACTATTTGTTCTAATTGTTTACTTAAATCAGCAGGTTTTTGCTCGGAGAATCATATGTCAAAATTTAAAGTCGATTGATTAATCAAACATGGCTTAGTCGTTATGAATTTAATTGATCGGCGTAAATTGGCACAGAATAAACTAATAAAATATACTTCTCAATTTCTCTCTTAAGTTAAAACGCCCCTCATCTTATTTGAAAGTTGAACTCATAGATCCGTAACATGAGAATATTTTAATGCTATTTCGGTTAAATTTATATTACAAGTATTTCTAATTAAGCCTGTCCTAAGAAAGAGTTACGAATTCACATATTCACTTATGTAATTATTTATCATTATCAAAATCTATATGGAAACGACGAGTTTGAAAATGTAAATAAGAATTTTATTGTAGAGTTGGAAGTCCAATCCTAAGACAGAACTATTTATTCTAACTTTAATATATAGTAAATATGTTAAAAAATATTTGATAAGTTTTATTTAAAGATGAAATTATTTTATCAAAGAACAAATAAACCAAATCCCAGCACATTTGACTATTTTTTTTTATTTTTACTTATTTCATTTTTTTTATATACTTAATAATATTTACTAGATCATGGATGATCGTAAGATTATACGTCAAAACATTTCTGGAAGCAATACCGATTATATAACACGGAACGGAACTGCCGTTATTGTTAAAAATAATTGAAAGTACATTCAATCGACCTGATTCAAAATGTTATGTATTAATAGAAAATGGTATTGTAAAAAGTCGCCTTTATCAAGAACTACACAACAAGTAAGTGTTTTTTTTTATAAATTCATTGTCCCGAGTGTAGCGAAAGGCTTTCTATTGGAGAGCACTTAACGATTTTGTGGTAACCTCCTTAATTACCCTGCTTATTCCTTTTTTTGATTATGTATCACTTTTTACTTGTAACATATTATTTATGTATCTCTGATAATATTTTTATGAGATAAAAAAAAATTTATTAATTAAAAAAAAAAACCTTAAATTGTTGATTTTTTATCAAAATTAAATAACGCGACGTTCCGTTTTCATAGTTTTATTTAAAATAAATCTATCAATCATTTTCAATTAGATATGGTAGTTAAAAAAGTTCAGGTAGAATTGCAGGAAGAAGTCGATTGACACCTAACGGAACCGTTCATTATAAAGGAAATGATGATGCTGGTCGTAAAGATTTTTACATGAAATTGAGGCGGGAATTTACTTATGCGATTCACATAAGTCTAGAACGTATAACTACCAATGGAAAGTTTGAAGTTATTCCTTCAGTTTCTCCCAACAAATCATTTTATTTATTAATATAAAGGAGGAGTATGTAAGAAAATATGAGTTGCTATTTAGCCGCTAAAGATTGATCAAGCATAATCTTATCACCCTTCTTGCATCCGGCGAATCTTTAAAACATTTGGATCTAGATTATGGATACAATCTTTCTCGTAAGAATTAATAATTATTAAATTTTTAAAATTGTGAACCAAATATTTTTTAAATTATCATTTTAACTTGTAAAATAGCTAAATTATTAAACGTTATGGAATGTCTATAATTGTACTATTGGCAACCGTATGTGTATTGCTCTCGTCATTCTTTTTGACAAGATGTAAAAATAGAGGATTATAATAATTAAAAAATTAAATTCGCGGAAGTAAAACGCATTTAATATTGTAAATAATATAATAATTTTTCGAAAATTCTTTGAAGGAATAATGTTTACATAGCTTGATAACGAAAAGAAACAAAGTTAGCCAATATCGCAACAGTATGTAAATACTTGCATCAATCAAAGTGGAAGGGTGTGAGATAAAGGCAATAGCAATGTTATATATGTATCAATCTTTTTTATTAATAAATGTTGAAAACGAGTCTATTTATAAGAGTAACAGATAAATTTATAAAATTTATATATCTAATTAATTAACCGGTTTCCAACCTCTATATTTCAATTGTTTGTGCGGTGTTCAGAAATTTATTATCAGCATTCGCGAATTTTATGATTTTATTAAAAACATTCTGATAATTTCAGTCAGGAGACACTTTATAGCGTTGCCTTAACATTTTCACTTATCTTCGAAGAATATTATTATCTGTAATAATCTGTTTTACATTCGCTAAAATTGAATTTTTAAATAATAATGAATTTTGCTTAACCGACTTTATAAAACTATGAATACATTATTTCTTTTGGAAAATTTTTTGTAAACCATTTTTAGCTTGTCGTGATTTTATAAAAAAAAAAAATCATTTTATAATTTTGTTATGAACTACGACTGATTTTTTTTAAAAAAAAACTAAGTTTTCGTTACTGAATTTCTCTTAATTAAGTAACTAAGTCAGTAATGTCATTCTATTGTGTTATAAAATCAAAAAACAAAATCTCTTTGAAAAATAATGAGATCAAAAAGGATCTTGTAATAACTTATCGAAATATCATTTGTGAGATTAATTTAGGCGATAATTAGACCAATTGTATTATTGACGTAAATTAAACAACAATAAGCTTCTAAAAAGAAATGTATTTATAGGTTCGACATTCTCATTTTGATACCAAAATCTAATTCATTATATAAATTACATTCTGTTAAAATTACATTTTACCTTCGCAATTGATACTTTAAAAAGCAGTACAGAATGAAATCTATCATTCCCTACTTGTAGCAACGTAGTGAAATTGTCAGAATACGAATATCGATTGTCCCTAAAGTCATACAGGAATTCATATGTATTCTTAAAACGAGAAACCAGACATTACACTTAGCTAAGAAAGTTTTTTACCACCTTCCCAATACAACTAATGAAGTTTTCATATTCGGCTCTGATGACGTAAGCTTTATTTGATAATTTGGGATAAAGATGCTGATAATGTGGAAAGATGAAATATATGTTAATAGTATTTGGAAAGATTTATTTTACTATCCTCTTATAATTGTATAATAGTGTAATAGATTTAATTTGAATATTCTTATTCATGATATAGGGAAAGAAGTAGAATCAATGTCTGAAATTAACTTTCTAATAACATTCAATGAATATATATTAAAAATGAAACTGAGTCAATACATTTAATTTCAAGGTAATGAGAATAATAAAGAAGTAACATACGTAAAATATTGACCATCATAGGGTGAAGCTTTTCAAGTTGCGTGATAGATATAATCATTATAATAAAACTATGGAAGAATTTAAGGCAGGAAAGGCTATTAATGTATATTTAATTTTAACTTTATTTTATTGTAGATTCTCTTTCCTAAAATCAAAAATACTTTAAGTTCATACATTTATTGAATTACGAGATCCAAAAATTGAAGTTTTATAAATTATCAGAATTTTTGATATTACAGTCAAGGCTTAAATATCCCTCCTATAAATGAGAGATAAAACCTCTTAATTACAGTCGAAATTAGATGAACTACTGTATTTTTCCAAAAATAAGCAACATATTTTTGCTATATTGTTACTTATTTTTAGGTATGTTTGATTAACTTATGATATACAATCTAAAATCTGCTAATTCATCAATAAATCTCATGATCATTGATTGCATTAATCATCAAATATTACATAAAATTGGGAAAAATTTTTTATTCTGCTAAAATGTCACATTCTACAAAAAAAGAATTGTTAAATAAAAGGTTATAAAAGTTAATAAATGTACATAAACTTCGTATTCTATCGAACAAAAATACAAGTTATTACCTATGCAAAAGAATATGATTACATTAAGGTGGCAAAGCATTTTGATATCAATCGTAGTATAATAGAACGTTGGGTAACTTTTATAAAAAGATATAGATTAGCATTGCAGAGAAGAACTAAAATATCTCAGAAGCTTCCTAATCAAACTAAAGAGCAATTAGAAAAATTTCACCAATTTGTTACTAATTTAAGAATTAAAAAGTTATTTAAATTAAGGAATATTTATAATATGGATGAAATACCTGTTTGGTTTGATATGGTTGGTAATTTTACTATCAATCCAAAGGGTAAAAAAACAGTCTATATTCATGCAACAGACAATGAAAAAATAGGTTTACAGTTATATTTACATATACTGCAGGTAAGCTTTTCTTTGTTTTTATAAAATTAAAATTTACTCACTAATAATACTATTGATTCATTATTATAGATGGAACTAAACTTCTTCCAATATGTATTTTCAAAGGAAAGAGAATATTACGTGAAGAACAAATTCCTACTAGAATTAT